TTCGATGCTTCGACATTATGTTTCAGATCCTTCACGTGTGATACCACCTCGACCATTGAAAATTTATCTGGATTTGACTTATGATGACGAATCAATGACGATTTTGGATTGGATGAGAGTGATGTATCCAAGGTTATTTTGAGTACTAAATGAATTGATTGGTGGTGTGAATTTCGAGGACGAAATTCTATAAGGAGGGGAGATTGTCACAACCTGTTCCGGAATTTCATATTCATTGATATGAAATGACGGAATTGCCCTTATCGATTTCTAAGGTGTGTGTGTGACTTATACATTTAATTATTATTGTCCTTCCTAAGTTTTTGGAAAATTTTAATTGGAACTTGGGTTATGTTTTCATTTGTGTGGTTAGGGATTTATGTGGACCACACATACAAACCTGCCTTCTCTCTCTCCCCTATGGATTTCCTCTCCCTTCTCTCTCTCGGTTTTTCTTCCGTTTAGCCTCGAACGTACGGACGTCGTGGTTTTGGATGTTTGAGGCACGGATCGAACTTGTTCTTAATGGATTTGGAACCCTGGTAAGTTCACAAACCCAGTCATGCTTTTGGTTTGGCCTGAAACTCATGAAATCAAGGGTTTTCTGAAAGTTAACAACGAGGTACTGTTCATGATGTTTTAATCTAGGGGTTTTTGGACCAATCTAAGATCATAGGAGTTCTTAAAATGATCTTGTGAAGCTCGGATGACCAAGTTGGAGGTTTTTGGACGTTAGGATCACGCCATTCGAAGTTGGCCGATTTTGGAGGATTTTCTTGACGAAATTTCAGAGGTTTTCAAAGGTTTTTGAACGTATAGATTCATTCCCCTCTTAATTTAGAGCTCGTAGGTGAAAATTTCATGAAAAATGGTGAAGAAACGAGTGAGAAAGGACGAGTTGCAGGTTTTCGGTGCCGGCGACGCGAGGAAAAAGAAGACGCGCGTGGGGGCACATAGGTCCGTGCCACCCTAGCCGCGTGGGGGCGCGTGCGACACTAAAAAATTATTCTAAAATTATTATGACGCTCGTGAGGTTGTGTAGATGACTGCGGTATATTCATATGCCCAGTTTAAGCAATGTATGAGAAGTTATTACCTAGGTTGGTTATGTGCTTAAATAACGTTATTTCGGTTACTTCTTCTATAGGTGAGGCTTATACGGATGATGAGCACAGTTAAGGGAGACACGGGGGCTACGACCCTTCGACATATCAGTGAGTGGGCAGTTTTGTTTTCAGTATATACCTATATACTATTAATTTTCCCAAAAATTGAATTTATATGAAAGTATGTTTTCAATTGCCATGCATGCATATTATGAATTATATGAATTGATATGAATGCATATATATATGTGAATTGGTGCTGGGGACGCATAGGTGAGTATCAGGTGAGTTTTATGTTACTCATGTGAATCATTGATGATGTGAATTGTGTTGAGAGCTCATAACCTGCACCCTTGGTGTTAGTACTTATATTATTCACCGCACCGCAAGCTCACCTTGGATCCAAGTAGGTGCATGTCGTACATACCATGAGAGGGTTCCGACCTGCTAGCCGTACAGACCACTAGAGGTGGTTCCGACTAGTAGGTGACCTTAGATTACGCGCGCAAATGATTGATGAGAGAAGCACTAGAGCGTATCATTACACCATTCTTGTCGTACAAACTACTTCAGGTAGTTCCGACTTATGTGTAGAGTAGTGCCGTACAGGTCACCGTGGTGACTCTAGCTGGGTTGGATATTGAGCTATGGAATTAACCGTACAAGACCAACTGCAGGGTCTCCGGTTGATTCATTACGTCACCTGTTATTTTGATGCATCTATGTTTTGTTAGTGACATTTATGGCATGGCATATTCCTAGATTTGTGATAGATGGGTGACTTGTGACTAATGAGGTTTTATATGCTATTATGTTATTTTCTGGGAAAGTATACAAATTTTTCAGTGAGGGGTTAGAAATGTTATTAAAGCAAATGTTTTCGAAAAACTTTGTTTTACTGACCCACTCAATTTTGTTTTGCGCCCCTCCGAGCTCAAGCTAGCAGAGTTTTGGTGGCCACGAGGAATCCAACGGTGTTCTGACAGAATCGTTAAAAGTAGGACTCACCCTCAGGGGTTACATCTTAGCAATTGTATTTTAAAAGCTTCCAAACTGTGTAAATGGTTACGTCACTCTCACGTGACGGCCAGCATGCCCTCCTTCGGGACAGGGTGTGTCAGTAATGATGGCATGCCTCTGTTGCATTTAGGCTTTACGGTTTGTACGATTCTCCGTCAGATATGTGCTAACCTGACGTGACTGCATACAAAACATTTTGCCCATGTTTTTAAAATGACCTAGGCTAGGTCCACTTGCACTGGGAATTATTGATTAGTTCAAAAACTACCGATCCAGTTTGGACCAAAAATAGTTTCCGGGAAATTTTCTATTTCCTCTAGAAAACGTTTTCTCTGAATGTGATGTAGTTTTAGTGCGCTGGATTTGGTTTGATGCGTGAAACAAGAGATAGCATTGCTTACATACACACATACCCAACAGCATAATAGAATCCTTGAAAATGAAACCTCAACTTCGGTGATAAATGGGGTAGTAAAGATCAGTGCGGATCCATCTTTGGGTAATGTGGGCTCAATCGACATCCCCAAGCTTAGAAAATTTTCATGGAAAATTTAGGTGTTGCCATTTAAAAATTTGAGATCGCCCTTAAAAGTTATCCTCCAACTGCTCGACAAATGCCTCTATGGGCACCAGGCAGGGTAACTGTTAGCCTAATGCCCTTGTATGCATTGTTATGGGCATCTATCGTCGGGTCAGTAACAAACTATTGACACCATTCTACATACTTACTTTGAAAGTTGGCATCAATTGACAAGTGTGTAATATGACTTGGCAAATGGCCTTAGGCCTAGCAAGGCTCTATAAAATACCAATTTGCATGATGTTCTGTCCAAAAGAATTTGCACGCCGAACATGCCATTCTTACAAACCCCTAATAATATTTCCTAGATTCACCACTGGTGACGATGGAAAATGATGTTGTGAAAAGGACAGAAACTTATGAAATGGGAGAGAAATTCGTGCATCGGCTGTTATCCTAAAATCAATCATGTTATATTGATGAAAAAAGTTAAAGTATAAAAAAATGTTATTTAGCAGTAAAAACATTGATTTGAAATGCTATCAAATGACAGATTTCCAAGTAAAATTGAAGAGGAAATTGTAGAAATAGTCCCTCAACTTTAATCCAATTGGAGCAATGGTCCCTCAACTTTATTTCCATGACCATTGGTCCTTCAACTCGTAAAAATGTGTAGCTATGGTCCTTTTCCTTAACACCGTCAATAATTCCGTTAAATTCAGTCATGTGCGTGGCACATGACACTGACTGTAAGGATAATTTAGGAAACAAATTTTTTTCCCAGATAAAAGCATCCTCATCCCCAGGTTGCAGTCGATGCCCATCCCCAGGTTGAATTCAATACCCATCCCCAGGTTGAAGTTGATACCCATAGCTAATTTCAAGGATAGTTTAGCCGATGACGATGGAGTTGTCGGATGTCATGAGGTGGACCGGAGATCCTCCGAAATATTGTAAGGTTTTCTGGAAAACTTGAACTTTTTATACTTTGTTATTCGATATGGGTGTTTTCAAGGAGAAGATGTACCTTTTATTAGCTGATTTATGCATCTTTGTCATGCTTTCTTTTGAGATTCTTATGTCTGCAACTTTTGTTGATATTAGTGTTTGTGGTCCTACATTGGGGTCCCAATGTTGTCGGTTTGTCATCACTTGTTTTCTCATTTGTTTGGAACTTGTATTGTCTATGTTGCCATTGAGGCAGATGCTCACAATTACTAAGCCTATTTAGGCAGGTGTGCACATTTACTCTACCTGTTGCTTCTTGCCTTTAATCACTCAATCTTGTTTTTTATTTTTTATATTTTTTTTTTTGCAGCTAACCCTGAAAAGTGTACTCTTGCACTGAATCATGGTGGTTACTTGATGGATGGTGCTTATATTGGTGGCCAAGTGTGCTATTTGGACCATGTGACAGCTGATTATCTGTCATTGTTAGAGTTTAGAAAAATTGGGAAGTATGTAGGCTATGATGAGAATGATCTTTTCTCAGGGAAAGTTCAAATACACTACAGGGTGCCAGGGACATTTGAAGAGATTGTGGCTGACAGTACAATTGTCACCCTTATTGGTAAAATACCACCAAATAGGTTTGTTGAGATCTTCTATGTGGGTCCTGATGCAAGCAAGGAGTTTGGTAGTCAATTTTTTTTGGAGTGGCCTACCTTGGATGATGATGAGTTTAACTTGGATGGTTTTGGCGAGATTGGTATTAATCAAGAAACTGAGACTGACAAAGGTGAGCAAAATGAAGAAAATGATGACGACTTTGTTGATAGTGAGTACGAGTACAGTGAAGATGATGATAAATTGTATGAGATAAATGTTGAAGAAGGGCTAGAGAATTTTAAGGCAGAGCCGCTTTTTGAACATACTGGAAATATATCATCGGATGAAGCAAACTCTGAGGATTTTGACAGCCTTGATGAAGGTGAAGATAATATTGAAGAAATTTAGTTAAATAAGAAGAGGAAGAAACGAAAACCGAAGTTTAAAACATGGAAAAGGCAAGTGGACCTTAAACATCCTCAATTTAGAATTGGCATGATGTTTGCCAACAAAAAAGAAGCTAAGGAGGCTATGGAGCATCATTCTATGAGGACTGGTAGAGCTATTAGATTAAAAAAAAATGACAAGACGAGGCTGAGGGCTATATGTGAAGGGTCAGAAACTTGCCCATTTGTGATTTTAGCCGCGAGGAAGAATCCAAGGTCTGATACCTTTGTTATAAAACCCTGCAGTTAGAGCACCAATGTGGGAGGGTAGACAAAGTTTTATATGCAGATTCAAGGTGGCTTTCAGAGCACTATATAGACAGACTTAGAACAAACCCAAATTGGGATGTCGATGACATCATGGCTGAGGTTAGAAGAGAGTTCAACTTGGTGGTTACTAGAAACCAAGTTTTCAGAGCTAAAAGGCTTGCTAGAGAAGTGATTGAAGGTAGTTATGTGGAGCAATATGCACGATTATGGGACTATGTGGAAGAGCTTAAGAAGGCCAACGAAGGTAGCACAATCAAGGTGAAGACTCAAATGGACGGTGATGATATTCTTTTTCAAAGGATTTATGTGTGTTTGGCAGGGTGCAAACAAGGCTTTTTGGAAGGTTGTAGGCCTGTCATAGGAGTTGACGGTTGTTTTATTAAAGGCCCTCATTCTGGACAGATTTTAACGGCTGTTGGGATTGACGGCAACAATGGTCTATTCCCAATAGCTTATGCAATTGTTGAGATAGAAAACAAAAGCACTTGGGTTTGGTTTTTGGAGCTTTTGATTGCTGATTTGAAAATTGAGAATGGCCTAGCATGGGCTTTTGTAAGTGACAAGCAAAAGGGTTTGGAATCAGCAATAAAAAAATTGCTCCCAACTGCTGAGCACAGGATGTGTGTTAGGCACTTACATCAAAACTTCAAAGCTTCTGGTTTTCAAGGGTTGGAAATGAAAAATATTTTATGGGCAGCAGCAAGGGCAACAACAATACCGTGGTGGAAGGAAGAGATGGAAAAGATGAAAAATCTACATGAAAAAGCATGGGAATGGCTTAATGATAGGCCTGCTAATAATTGGAGTAGATCTCGCTTTAATACTCACTATAAGTGTGATGTTCTACTTAACAACTTATGTGAGAGTTTTAATTCTGCTATTGTTGTGGCAAGGAATAAGCCTATCTTGGGACTTCTAGATAACATCAACATGTATATCATGCTTAGGATGGCCAATAGGAGAGCTGCTGGGAGGAATTGGAAGCATCCAGTTGGTCCAAGGATTTTCAAGATAATTGAGAAAAGCAAAGTGGAAAGTACTTATTGTATTCCTAAGATGGCTGGTGAGAAGGAGTACCTAGTACAACACTTAAGTGGTAGACAGTTTGTAGTGAAGTTGAAGGAGTCTACTTGCTCATGTAGGAGATGGGATTTATGTGGGATCCCATGCTCACATGCAATTGCTTGTATATTCGCTAGAGATGAGAGTGTTTACACCTATGACCATGACTGTTACAAGAAGGAAGCTTACTTGAACTCCTATGATCCTATGATCCACCCCGTTCCTGGAATGGACTTGTGGGATAGGACAGATTTAACTCCATTGAAACCTCCAACATGCAAGAAGCAACCTGGCAGGCCAAAAAGAAAGAGAATTGTGTCTGTAGGTGAAGTTGAGCCACAAGCACACTATCCTCCACCACCAACTAATTTATTGGGTGAGCACAATGACACACCGCAACCTCAGAGACTTAGAAAATGGTTTGTAGAGATAGCTTGCGGTAAATGCGGAAAGTTGGGGCACAATAAAGTAGGATGTGGAAAATCACAACACACGAATGCAACAAATAAGAATCAGGTACATATTTATGCTTTAGTAAATCCTAAAAAACCAAACTAGCAAGTGAATTGCAGTTTAATTCATTCTTGGGTTAATGCAGGAGACTCAACAAGTAAACACTCAAGCAACAACTCAAAATGCCCAAGCAAACTCTCAAACTTCAGGGACACAAATGTCTCAAGGGAACACCGAAACACGAGCTCCAATTAACTCTCAAGGAAAGAAAAAGCAACATGTCAGTTCTCAAGCAGGGCAACAAGGAAAGGGAAAACAACCTGTAAGTTTATCTTTGATTATTTTCTCATACATTATATGCCAATTGGATTTGATTTACTGAATCAATTCTTTGATTTAGATGAGAAGGGGTGAATACAAAGGGATGGGGAACCAAGCAAGACCATGCAGGCTTTGAAATAGATAATATTGCTGCTTGTTTTTTGATGTTTATGGACCAAGGAGGCCTCGATTAGTTGATGTTACCACTTGTTTTCTGATGGAGGATGTGAAGACCATGGTGGTTTTGAAATAGATGATGTTGATGCTTGTTTTTTGATGTGGATAGACCATGGAGGCCTGGAATAGATGATGTAATATGTATATTGGCTATAAATATATGCAACCCAAGTCTTTCTGGGTATGCAAAGTTGACGTGAAACAACCTTCTTGTCGAATATGCAGAACCTGCAGTTCTTAAGTTTGTATACGGTACACACAGCTTTTTGAGTCGAACGACAACGATCCTTTTTTTACCAATTGTCCACTACCTTCTACCATGTTATCATAAGTTAACATCAATTATCATGATTAAGACTGGGTAATATTGCAGACAGCTATGGGTATCAACTTCAACCTAGGGATGAATATTGAATTCAACCTGGGGATGGGCATCGAATGCAACCTGGGCATGAGGATGCTTTTATCTGGGAAATAATTTGTTTCCTAAATTACCCTTATAGTCAGTGTCATGTGCCACGCACATGACTGAATTTAACTGAGTTATTGATGGTGTTAAGAAAAAGGACCATAGCTACATATTTTCACGAGTTGAGGGACCAATAGTCATGGAAATAAAGTTGAGGGACCATTGCTCCAATTGAGTTAAAGTTGAGGGACTATTTCTACAATTTCCTCAAAATTGAATTTCTTTCATGGGGTGCGTGATAGCAAAGATCCCTGAACTTTACACATGTTAGTTTTTGTCCCTAAACACTCATATTAATTTCTCATGTCCTCCATCTTAACTTTGGATTGCATGAGTGGTCTTTCTGTCAAATATGTCTTCTTTTCAGTCAAATTGAAGGGTATAGTGATCTTTTTATACAAAAAAATAATTAGTTGAAAATGAGAGAGCTTGGCCCCTTAAGGTTAAGGAGTTCCTTCTTAAAATACTTTTTGGTCTATTCATAGAATTTCGTGCTTGTATTTAGTCAATCTTTGGATCATAAGACAAAGTTATGTGAATAGATCATGAGGTGTTTAATGAGGATTTCCTCCTAAGTCCTTGCGAAGACAAGTCTTTTTCTTTTTTTGTCATCAACTTGACGAAAAAGTTGACGAAGTTAATGAAAATGATTATTAATGCAAAGAATAACATAATTCATGTACAGAAGAAACTATTAGTATAGTTTAGGGATGAAAATTAAGCTCGCGGTATTGATCAAGGACTTTTACTTTAATTTTAGTCTTTTCATGTGATAAAGAGAAATAAGAAAAAGAAAAAAACAAACGTGTTGTAGACTAGCAAATTTTAATTTGCACGTAGAGATGACAAGAGAGATAATATAGACGAAATTTTTGGACTTCGTTTTAATTTCTAAAGATTTCCATTTGGAATGCTTCTTTTTATAAAGTAATTTTGCTCATCGTAAAAGTTTTGAACTACCGCTTCTTGAAACAAGAACACATGAACTTTTAATTATTCTAGGGTTAAATCGCCAAAATGGTTTCTAAGATTTGCTTAACTCATCACTTTGGTCCCTGAGATTCCAAATCGACAAAAATGGTCCTTGAGATTGTCCACCATCCATCGTTTTGGTCCTTCCGTTAAGTGTCCCGGAGCTCTTGGCCTGAAGTTTGGGCAATTTTCAAAGCTTCGTAACTCAATCGTTTCTTAACCAAATTCGACCCACAATATATCAAAATGAAGATAGGAAAGTGTAGAATAAGATTATACCTATTTCGAAGCCCAATGGTTGCCGGAGGTTGCCGGAAAATAGCCTCAAAGTTGACTGGTCGGAGTGAAAACTTGAAAACTCGCCGAAAACTGGGTAAACTTTAAACGTTCATAACTTCTTCAATACTCTATGAAATCACGTGATTCAAAAATGAAAATCATACTACTCAACGAGATGAAGAGAATGGTACCCTTTTTTTTTATGGCTAAATCACCATGGTTTGGCCGAAAAATGGCTCGAAAGTGGCTAACTCGAGACCAAGATAGCCACTTTCGAGCCATTTTACGGCCAAACCACAACGAGTTAGCCGTCGAAAATGTATCATTCTCTTCTCCGCGTCAAGAACTATGATTTTCGTTGTTTGAATTACTTGATTTCGTTGAGTATTGAAGAAGTTATGAACGTTTAAAGCTTACCTAGTTTCCAGCGAGTTTTCAAGTTTTCACTCGGACTAGTTGAGGCTATTTTCCTACAATATCTGGCAACCATTGGGCTTCAAAATAGGTATAATCTTATTCTACACTTTCATATCTTCATTTTGATATATTATGGATTGACATTGGTTAAGAAACGATTGAGTTACGAAGTTTTGAAAATTGCCCAAACTTCCGGCCAAGAGCTCCGGGATACTTAACAGAGTTTTTAACGGAATGACCAAAATGATGGATGGTGGACAATCTCAGGGACCACTTTTATCGATTTGGAATCTCAAGGACCAAAATGATAAATTATGCAAATCTCAAGGACCATTTTAGCGATTTACCCATTATTCTATGTGCTTTTCTAACCCATAAACATGAAAACTGTTTTGTGAAACATTTTCGACGTACTATTGGCTGTATGAAAAGCTCTTTTTCTAACCGAATTTCATGTGCTTTACCCAAAAAAAAAATAGACTTTCAACTTTGTCTCTCAAACGTTTTTAGAAATATTTTTTGTGGTCCGGAGATAAACTTTACATTGCAATAAGTTATAATTTTTTGAGTCTCGGCTTAATAAATTAACTTGCATAGTAATAATTGTTAATAAGTTCAAAAATATACACTGTCACAATAATAATTTAAGATGAAATAATATATATTCCTCTAAAGTTATTTGAGACAAAGATTTGTTATTATAGAGTTAATGATACATCTTTGATCCTGCGGGTACGCAATAGCCAACATGGACACTTTGTTTTTCTAATAGTGTTTCAAATTTCTCAAGCATGGTTATAGATTTTTAGCAAAAAATTTGATATTTCCGTACTGACATTCTTATGATTATCTCCTTTCCTTCCTTGCCTAATTGCATCAATGATTCCTTCTTCAGTTAAGGTGTCAACGACATTGTTGCTCATTTGGATGATTGAAGAATACATTTCATTGGCATATATTAATGTTAATGTAATACTTTGTACCAATACAATTTTTGTTAAGGATAATTAAATTAAAAATAATAATAGTTTTTAACTACCCCTTATGTTAAGTAATAAAATTGGTTTGTTGTCGAACATTGTAATTTTATAACCATAAAAAGATTTTACAGTAATAGGGTGCACTTGGACTAGTAGTCTGGTACAGGGAACCCTTTCCCAATCCAAAAGCAATGGCCCTGAGAGGTTTATCGCTTTGAAGAAAGTTGTGAAGGAGAGGGCACAAGAAATAAAAACAAATTGCAACTTGGAAAAGTCCTTGTTGTGGTATCCGACTTAAGTCTTGTTATCAAACACCAAATTCTCGTACTGTTGGTTGATGCGATTCTTCGTGGTGTTTTCATTTGATTTCTTTGACGTGTGCCATCAAATATGCTGTTAGATATGTGAAGTCCTATCAAGTAACTGTCACTACTGGTTTCTTTTTTTCATCAACTCTTTAGCCACCACCACTTTCTATCATCCAATAATTGAAGAGAGCAACAGCCGCCTTCGTTATCGATGTGTTGATTACAATATTGGTATGCAATATATGTTTTTCTTTTCTCCTTATTCATATTTCAGTAGTGTAACGTATAAAAAGTATACGTATATGTTCCCTTCGTAAAAAAAAAAATAGAAAACTTCATTTTAATCCTTGGCAAATATGACTTTTAGATTAAAACCATGAGTAAGATCAAAATCTAATTTTAGTCCCTTGATACATTAATAACCTCATTTATTAATTATATTTTGATTTTTTTATTATTTATCTTTTTCTTTCTAATTTTTAATGTATTAAGTTTATTTCATTATAATTTTTATTTTCATTTCATTTATCGTAATATATTTTGTTGTGAACATTTAGATAAACTAATTTTTGTTATACAATATATTTCGATGTACTTTATCTTCTTCATTTAGGTATATTAAATTCATTATAATACATTTCGATGCATACATTTAGGTACACACATTTCGGTACATACATTTCGATACAAATATTTAGGTACATTAATTCAATATAACACATTTTTGGTACTAACATTTTGATGCATACATTTCGGTACACACATTTAGGTATATTAATTTAATATTAATACATTTCGGTGCATATATTTAGGTACATGCATTTCGTTACTAACATTTAAATATATTAGTTCAATATAATATATTTCGGTACTAACATTTAGGTACATTAATTGAGTCTTCCAAATTTGAAGAATGTTAAATAAAATTAATAAATTAAAAAACTCTTTTTTGGTCAAAAAATAAATTAAAATTTGTGTATTAATAAATTTAAATATTTAATGGGAGACATTAAATAAAATGTACATTAATTATTTTGAATTAAGGACACATTTAAGACTAAAATCAATATTCAATCTAACACCATGTTTTTTTAAAATTTTAATCTTCTTCAAGGATTAAAGTTCAAGAACCCAAGAAAAAATAAAAAGTGTATGTTTGATGTGCGAAAGCCATCATATTCT